GATTATTACATCAACATGTATGTGATTTTACGTTCAGAAATGTTGTCTAGGAGAACTGTACGTCTGATCGTACAGTTGTCATACCTTATCTATGATTATTACATCAATGTATGTGATTTTACGCTCAGAAATGTTATCCAGGAGAACTGTACGTCTGATGGTACAGTTGTCATACCTTAGTTGAATTATCTTTGAAACATGTATAAATCCCCTGATTATTACATCAACATGTATGTGATTTAATGGCATCATCGCTATTTGTATTCGCATTGTAAAAGACAAGCTTGCGGTCTTTTAAGTTCTAATTGTTTAAAAAATGGAAAATGCAGTCGGAATCAAATTCATAGTTATGGATATTATCTAATTTTTTTTGTTATTTATGTATCATCCTGCTGGTACCTTTATGTACATTGTATTGCAGATTCAATATTTATGTGTGCTATTTTGTTGTTTATTCTCGATTCGTTGGATGCAGTTTCTTCTACCTCTCTCTGGTATTTCACGTATTTGGCAAGATTTTGCTCCTTCAATTCCTATTATCTCCACATTAGGTCACATTATATATATATATATATATATATATATATATATATATATATATATATATATATATACATACAGAGAGAGAGAGAGAGAGAGAGAGAGAGAGAGAGAGAGAGAGAGAGAGAGATGTGTGCTTAACAGAGAATACATGGTTTTTTGCAAGAGAAACAATTTGGATAATTCAGTGGAGTGAAATATCAAATATATTATTAGATACAGTTATGGCCTAGAAATCTATATTCAGACAACGTACGTGATCAAGTATTGGAGCTCGCATGCAAACGAACGACAACTATAATACTACCGATATGCACAAATCTAACAGATCATAAACGGTTAACATATGACATTATCGCCTGGGATATCAAAAGAAGTCTACTGCTTTAATCTGTTATGTATATTACTGGCCAATACTTTTAAGCATGAACTGTACAAAATATGTTTGCTCTGACTGAATAACGGATTTAGTTTATCACGTGGTGAAAATAGTGAGGATTTCACTAGTTTATAAAACATGTTATTCACTCGTTTAAAACAAATATTCACTCTGATACTGTCTTTCTGCATTTATATAAAATATAAAATTTATATATCATATAAAATTTGCTTGATCATTTCCTTTGGATAAGAATACAGTAAGTAACACAATTGCAGTGGTATTGTATTATCTTTTACGGTCGTTTTAAGTAATAGTCAAAATTCTAAAGTTTCTTTAAAACTGACTCGATGATACACTTGGGTTTCATTTTCGTTAATCTATTTGACAAATAAACTTGAACTCAGTTAGGTTTTTTAATTTTAATTTGTACAAAGCTAACATAACACCTCCAGTTATAAATATATGAATGGAATTCCACATCACAGTGCGACTGGTCAATTGTAGCATCTGAAAAATCAATAAAATAAATCCTTCAGCCTTCTTTTTTTTCTTGTTCTTATTTAAATAAAAGAGAAAGAGGAGAAAACAAATACATATACAGGTAAGAAAACTTATCTTGAAGATAGATACTGATTTATTTTTAAATATTTGAAATTCACAATTTATGCACATTTTATACGATATTTTACTTATTTTTACAAGGACAAATACGGTGAAAAAGAAACTGAACAAAATACATTAAGATGTTGCTGCATTTAGCAGCAGAAACAACTTGATTTCGGGCGTTAAACACTCGTGATTATCGCACTTGCCTTTACACAGAGCCTTGGATCTGCTGTGCATTGGTTGCTGCCATCATGGTCAAAAGATCTTGGCCATTTATGTTTACTCATTACCCATTACTGATTACAAGTACATCAAAGGAGACGTTCACAGATAGAAACTAAAGCCTTTGTACATACTGAATTGTTATAACATAAAACAGCTTATAGCGAGGGAAGTTAGATTTCTTACCTTAGTAACGAGAAGGACAATTGCATCTGCAGCCGTATCTCTGTTTGTATTCATTTCCGTAACACTCTCCGGTACGACAGAGTGACACGCCGCATAATCCAGATTCTGCTTTGGACCCAAACGGTGGATTAACAACACCAGGGTTGCCACCAGGTAACAAAGGATTCATGTTATCCCTTTGCCCTAATATGATGGACATTAGAACAATATAAGAGAAATGAATAAAATAGAAAAATATGCAATACATTTTTAGCACATTTATATCAGTTAGGATTTTAAAAAATCCTTTTATCTTTTATCAGAAAATTAAACTCAAAAGGTTCTTTTATGTTGATTTTTAATTTTTTCTTAGGTGGACACATGTAGATCTGGAATATTAGAAGGTAAATATTACATGTTTATTCCTTGTATATTAATTGAGGAAATTAAGAACATTAAAAGAATTGATGGATAGTAATTTTCAACAATATAAAAGATAATAAAAGAACACGAAAAGAACAAAACATTTGGTTCCGATGACAAATGTTTCAAACAGAGAGAACCCACCATTAGAGGATTCCACCATCACAAAGACCAGGAACAAGGCTAAATCTGCCTTCACCATTATGCTTTCGGTAGAGGTTCTCGTTCGGATCAGAGTGCCGTTGCCATACTAAATTACTTCTTTTATATATAAATGGTTGTCCGGACCACCCCTAATCAATAATTATGAGGATATAAATAACCACCTGTCTATATACGACCCATAGTTTTATGTCTTAATGTGCGGTGGTCCGCACAGTCTTTTGCTATATGACTGGCAACAGCTCATATTCTCAATGTCATTTATATATTGAATTTAATGTTTGTGATATATAGATAGAATGAATTAAAATGGTATACAAAAACTAACACTTCTTGACCAGTCATGACTGGTACTGAAAATGCTAATATAAAGATAACTTAAATGAAAGCATGAGTTGTAACATTTTATTATATAATCAGACAGACTACACAACATCTTCGGTCTCTCAATATTTTTCGGAAAGATCTCAGACAAGTTAGACAGTCATTGATCTTAACTGCCTTGTATTTTTATTGTTCTTTTGGCAGAACACGGTTCAACAGAAAGGTAATATATCACCCTGAAGGAATTAGGTTACGTTAACGGTTTGGTGTCAAATCGTACCAACATCTTGCTGAATACGCTGCTATAGTAAATAGTCTCAAGCTATTTTTTGTTATTATTTACGGCACCTATAAAAGTAAAACCGAGGACTTATGTTAAATGTATTATATCTATGTTTATCTTAAGTTCGTTCTCGTGAAAATTATTTGATGGTCATTCGTGACTTTATGCATTTTATGCAAATTGTACAGGAAATAATAGCTTTAAAGCAACAACTGAGTATGTGGCGACAATACAAAATTGTAAGATAGGAGAAAAAAAGAAATTCCGATTTAAAAGTGGAGCACTTAAGACATGAATCAATGGTTCTCCACAAAGTTAGAATGATTAAAATTTAAAATGATCAAGAAAGCAGAGAAAATATTTTTTTTTACTTTGATGAGTGTCAGTTCAATAGGCTGGTTTGAAATTAATAAAATCTTAAAATTAAAATTAAAATTAAGAAGACGAAAAAGAAAAAATGATTTTAGGACTTTTTGGTCTATATAATAGAGTCGGTCCACTAACGATCTCAGCCCATAACGAAATCGGAAAACCCATGTCTGCCGATTAGTTGCTAGACCTATGGAAAGGTCGGTCCACCGTTGATACCGGTGAAACTATCTATGAATCAAACTATAAAATAAAGACAAAATGCTGAAATTATATTTGATCAAAGGATGAATTTTAAGTAAATTCAAAAACAATTTGTCTATATATTTTGTTCCCGAAAAGAACTGAAACAAACATTCATCATTGAGCAACTAATATCGTAACTGTCAATATGAACAAACTTTGAGTATCAAAACATGAATGTAACATACGTGTATTACAAACTATGTGGTGCCGTGTTACCGGAATCACAAGCAAGAGCAAAACCTCCAACACTCGACGACACAACTGTCAATACCCATTGATGTGTTGACCATTTAATTGTTTAATAAAAAAAATAAATACCCTTCACAGTCAGAGGCTAAATTAAATGAAAACAAAGTGGACATAATGAACTCAACACAGGCACTTATTAAGTTTAACTAAATACTACCGATACGTTTTCATAACATTATCTTACGAAAACCTCTGTTGGAATGAATTAACATAAATATACCTTGGTTTAATTTATATGGAACAATGTATTCACTGTATTAATATATTGATGTACTTTCAAAACATTATTTACAGTCCTGTGTTGAGTGCAGTCATGTCCGTTTTGGTTTGTTAATTAATTTTAAATAATAATTTTTAACGAAGTTTATTACAACAAAGTAGAATTAAAGCAACCATAACTTGAGATTTGATGGGGCTGCATTCTAATGTTATGAAAATATTTCACACGAAAAACATTCCTAATTGCAACGCATGTTGCATGGCTGTGAAAACAAGCCTGTTTAGAAAAGCAACTCTTGATTAATCTCATTCATTCATTTTATCTCTCCAAAATTGCGGCGCCAAAGACTAAGTAAAATACATAAATTTAACAAGTTTGAGCTAATATACATGCCAGCATGAGTTTTCCAAACATCATTTATATCTTAGGTAATTATGAACTTAGTATGTGTCAAATAATAGAGAGTAAACACTTTCATGGACGTTTCTCTGAAAACATCCACAATCTTTCCTATCAGGAAGGTGCGGTCATATTTTATACACACACAGACATTGGTGGAGATACACCGGAACGGAATGCTACTTAGAAAGTGGAATGCGTACGTTTGCCTGCAGGATGTAAATTAATCTTGTCCCGTTTCTGGGTCAGCATTATGAGGTAAAACAAGTTTTATTGATTGACTGTGAATTTTTACGGTGCTCCAGCAAGTAAGGATGTTAAGCGCCACAAAAATGTATGCGGAAGGAATTATTTTTGTAGTAAGCAATGAGTAAGATATTATTTACTCGTACCATTGTTTACTGCTAATTTTCTGGTGGCCTAGTGGTTAGAGCGCCCGCCTAGGATGCTGGAGGTCATGGGTTCGACCCCCGGTCGAGTCATACCAAAGATTTGTAAAAATGGTAGTAGCAGCAGCCTAGCTTGGGTCTCAGCATTACGAAGTTAGTGTTAGGACTGGTTGGCCTCGTGTCGGGATGTTACTGGGTGGGACATTCTTCTACATGTCTGCGGCATGATGCCCCAGTGCTAGCCATTGCTATAAAACTGACAAGCTGCAAACATCGTAGCGATATAAACATTGTTAAAGCTTCGTTAAAATACACATCATACGATAGCGAATATTTTGTTTCAGTCGCCCATGCGCGTTTTGTCTAATAGGACGTAGATGTATTAGAATCTGAGGCATGCGTGCCAATATGGCCCTGATTCTAATTATAGAACTAGCACAAGAAGCACATTTGTCAGAAAGAAAGGAATTTGATTTAAAGATTGCCTTATTCTAGAGATAGCTTTCCTTAACCAAATTAAAATTATATCTCGTCGCGTAGACACCTAACAGGTATATACCATTAAACTTGCAATAAGAATGCGACTAGCGTTTATAACGCAACAATGGGTCGACCAATCAGACAGTCATTTGCCAGAAGCTTAACTACATATCATGATGTTGCCAAAAGTTTGGATTGACATTCATATTCCAGGAATCTGTAACTGCAGCAAAGTCATCATAACAGAGACCCTGATAGGCTTATATATCTCTCCAAGTAGTTTAAATGCGTGTAAATGTCATCTAAAGATAATAAACCATTCCTTAAGATATTAATTGAAAACTCGCTGAATAAAAATCATTTAACATTTTTCGTATAAAATAAACGATGACTATTCTCATAGTTCATCTGTAATGTTTGGAATGAAATTTCTTTAAAATCAGAGTGTTAATGTGTTATCTCCTCAAACATCATCAAGCAATAACACCCAACCTAAAAACATTTTGAGCATTTAATTCAGATTCTAAATCATATGTCCAAAATAAGTTCAGGGAAATATAAGTTTATTAGGATAAAATTAATAACTTAATCGACCTGATGAGAGTGATGTGGATGGTATCCTGAGCCATATTTCATATCGAGCATTGCCTTCCTCTTAAATTAATTCCCCGTTTGATCCTTTATATCATTCTTGCAATCTTAACTACCAATCAGATTATGGACTCTTCATCATTGAGCGTGAATGTCGCCCTCCATCACATATTTATTTCAGTATTTTTCTGAGGGGATAATACAAGGAACAAGGTTGATTTTGTTGTAGTCCTCCGATATTTCGTTCGAAATGCGAGACAGTTTCCTGACGTTCGTCTATATTAGTTTTACATTAACTATATCATTTAAGACTTATATGATATTCATGGTTTAGATATCCAATAGAACCCATAATCTACACATTCGTATTGACGCTGAATCTTAACGCTGAATCTTAACAAAATGTTAAACCCAAATGAGAAACCTTTGTTTTTCACACAGACTGTCCGTATCTGTGAATCCACGATTTTATTAATTGTTTTAATGTTATATTTGCTGCATCGATTTTTTTTGTATTTTCGAAATTATTTTACTCAGTTGTTAATATAGCCTTATTTTACTTTCGTGTGATAAAAATTAAGTTTGATATATCACTTATTTTGCTATATGCTGAGAGGATACACCGACATTTTTTAGTTTATCATTTTTTTTCATTTGTTGATAACAATTACTCTATATATTAATTTCTTTTTCATAGTACTAAACTTTGATAAAGGCATGGGCGCATTTTGTTGAGGGTTGTTTTGTTGGAAATTATCAAATTGTCTAAAGTATGCATCTGATGAGCCACATTTGATTACGCTTTGCAAGGATAGGACCGTAGTCTTCCGGAACACACAGTATGACTTACATTGTTCTATCAGATTGCTAATTTAAAAAAAAACATCATCACCAAAACATTGTGCATAAATATGTTTGGTCAGAGCTTAGAATGACATTCTGAGCACATTCGGGGTACCATTGGGTTATGATGCCATTTACATAATGACCAGAAGAGTATTATATTGGGTTTATTTGGTTCTGATCGAGTGTTTCTTTCCTTCTTCATCTAAAGTTGAGACAAAAAACTAAACATATAATATTTTATATTATTTCTTTATTTAACTTAAATTTTTATAACAATTGTTCGCATATTGCACAGCAGCGGAACATTCCATGAATAAATGGAATTCGTCATTACCGAGAATATTGTCTTTGATAATGTCGATGACGTTTCACTCATGAATGTTGCAGTTTTTGACAAATCTGTGGACTGTAAAGTAAGAACAAACAATCCATGAAATAGCTTCTGGTTCCTTTGTCAGATATAAATCAATTTAGGACACGAAAACTTTCTTTGATAGGAGTCCAGAAACACATTGCATTAATATAAATTTGATTCAATCGTAGAAACAATACATATTAGTGAATTATATTTGCTCTTGAAGTATGCAATATTTTTGCATTCATTTAATCGTTTAAGTTTGAAAAATTGAATTTCAAACGTTATTAACTTTTGAGAAAAAGGGTTTTGAATCTATTTCACTCGTCACACATATTTTCTGCAAGTAAAGAGGTTTTTTCTGTGATATAGGTGTGGATAAAAAAACACGATTTCAAATGCACTGTAGCAGACATGATCGTGAACACTGCAAATAAAAATTCGTATTTTTAGAATAAATGTATCTGTCCTTGTCATGTTTAAAAAAAAGACCTCTAAACAAAAATTTCATAAGGAAAGACTAGAGTAACCCATTAATAACGTACTACAATCACTAACATTTTATAAAAGAAGAAAGTATAGACGGGTGATAGGGTAAAAATACGGAAATGTACAGTGATACATCTAATACAATAATAAATTGCAGCATTAAAATTCTTCACCTTAAGACCCGATTTTGACATCATAATTGCATCTGCAGCCGTTTCGCTGATTGTATTGATTGCCGTAACACTCTCGTGTACGACAGAGAGATAAACTGCAGTACCCAGTTCCAACTCCGGATCCACCCCAAGGGTCCACCTGCCTTTGCCCTAATAAAATGAAATCTAAACACACAGGGTACACAACACAAATCACATCTAGTGTTAGAAATACGCTTTGCATGAGGCATATATTTTTTTCTACAAAGTTTGTTGTCAGTCCTTGGAATAAAATAAACTGGTTATAATCAATGTTATTATTATTATTATTATTATTATTATTATTATTATTATTATTATTATTATTATTATTATTATTATTATTATTATTATTAAATATGATAGAAGTATTGTATTGTATTCCTTCAAAAGGATTCCTGACAAAAACTTTTAGAGCAATAGCAGTATAATGAACTGTGATATACGTGATTTGTTTTGTAGAAAAGATTTCGTCTACTTTCACTTAATATGTTAATCAATTTTAAAAGAAATTCAGAGTATTGAATTTTCTCTTCCCTTACAAGTAAGTTATTTTAATTAGTTTTAAATTTGTGATTACTTTAGTGTTGTAATAAAGTGCATGTTGCTCCATCTTAAGCTAGTAGAATGGTTTAGAAACTTTTCATTCTCACTGATCCACATCAGAGGTGTTTGAATGTGAAAATTTGAATCTTTTTTTAATACACATGTTTAAGACTTAAAGCATTGAGTATAATCAACATCGCAATTTATGATATTTTTTGTATTGAAATAATCACCATACACGGATGCCAACATCACACAGAGAAAGAAAGCCAAAACAATCTTCAATTTCTTCTTGTCAATAAAGAAAACTGATAACCAACAAAAATTCGTCTGGTCCGAAAAGAAGCTACATATGTGACTGTGACACTATTCTCTTTATATACACCAGACATGTTACAGTTTTTAAGTATTACAAAGAATCAAATGTCACGTGTCAAACTGTAACATTATGTTTAGGTTTTGACTGCGTGAATGATGAATGTTCTCGTTATGCCCATTCTATTTGGTCTTAATGGGTATGGACATAAACTCCAAGAGAAATTCCAGCGACTTTATGCATTTAAAATTCTGAATGATTATTAACAACAGATCAAAGTTCTGGTTGATAATTAGGGATAAATTGTCACCATTTCTTATTGTTAGACAGTGCATAATGAATCACAAACACGTGTTAGACATCGATTTTGGCATGTACGAACTATTATAATCTTAGAAAAAAAACACATTTGCCTTGTTTTCAAGGACTAGATTAGAAAGTTGTATTTTTGTGCACTTAATATTCTAACAAAATATCTCGAAGGATGATTAGATATTTTGCTTGCTTATTAAAATACTTTAGTATCATTTCTCACATTTATGTACTTACATTTGATTTGTGTACCAAAACTTAAATTTATCTCGTGGAAAAAATGGTTGATACATTTTTGACATTAGGTGAGCACGCTGGTTTATGTATTTCATTAAAATTTCTAACATCACTGATTATGGTGTATTTCATTAAAATTTCTAACATCACTGATTATGGTGTATTTCATTAAAATTTCTAACATCACTGATTATGGTGTATTTCATTAAAATTTCTAACATCACTGATTATGGTCAAATTAAAACAGCATATTATAGTCACATGTATAATATATATGTCGTTTATTGGTGACATCGACGTCATTACCATCCGTACAATAGAAATATATCAGGTCATTTATGAAAGCGGGGACGGACGGGACAGTTGCTTCAGGCGCCAAAACAGATGATAAAAATTAAGCTGCAGGAAAATCGATGGCGGGCCATCATCGTTTCCTGGAGCGCCATTTAATCATCGAGTTGTCCTATATGCACTTTTGAAGTCTAGCAGTTATAATAACTCGGTCATTAACATCGGTAGAAAAAAACAACACAAATATTTACGTAGTCTTCGTGTCATTTTTTGGTCTAATGAATTATATCTGTTTTTACTTGACCAAATTTATTGATACATGAAAGCGAATGAAGTAATAAACGAGAACGTAGGGAATATTTTCAGATTGTTCTGAGGAAAGAAAAGAAAGACATACATTGCTCTTCAAACGTGCACAATGCTGAAGTTCGTTAGAAAGA